TAAAAAGTTGCTTATAATAATTTTTAAAAATAATTTCTTTACTACAGCTTTACAAGTTACAACCACCATTTTTTAAATGGAAATTTACATACATACCACTTTATAACATCATATTTACATATCTAACACCTAAAACTTTAATATTACATGAATACCATCCTATATATTTAAATTATCTCAATATATACTTACATTTCTTTCTACCACTCATAGATTTTCATTTACCACTCATATTTGATAGGTAAGAAGATGGAAACTATGGGTGTATGTATTGATTAAATTAAAGTTTTAGGTGTTAAATATGTAAATAGCATAGTATTAAGTGATATGTATGTAAATCTCCCTTTTTTAAAACCAACAGCTATTCCAAACAAAATAATAAAATCTGTGCCTATAATTTGGGAAGCTTAATTTTATGAAAAATGTAGTAAAAAGTTATTAGCTATCAACATTTAATTATCAAATTAGTATTAAATAATTACAAATTATAAACTAAAAATTAATTTTTGGGTTGAATGGCTTAAATTTCTCCGACCAGATTAAAGAAAGTCTTATGCTTTTCATTTTTTATTTTTAAATTATGTTTCAAATCAAAATTTTTATTAGATATTTCTAAATTTAGTTTAATAAAATAAAATTTGGGAAAATTATATAAGAAATTAAATAGAAACAGGCTTTGCTTTTCTTGTTGGCTGTGTATTCTATCACAAAAATAGTAAAAAAGCTTTGAGATGGCCTAACCTTAAATAAGAGAGAGGTCTTTTCTATTCAATAATAAATGATTATTGGACATAATTTTGATTTTTTAATTATTTTTTTAATACATCGGGTGAAAGTAAAATTAAATTATATTAATTTTCAAATATTAAATTATAAAGAAAAAAAATCAATTTGAATATTATTTATTTCACATATCAAAATCATAAATTTTAATAAATATTATTTAATATTCTTCTTAATACTTTTTGTTCAAATTAACTTTATATTTTTACCAAATGATTGGATCAATTCAATTTTGTAAAATTTAAAATAAAAATAAATTAATTTAAAGGTGTTTAAGATCATTTTTTTATTTTTTTTTTAAATATATGTTTTGTTTGTATTTTTGACGGTTTTTTTTTAGTTCTTGAAATTTAAAGCAAATTATTTTCGAAATTACTTCAAATAACTTTCACATAATTAAACTTTTATTTCCCCCAATTGTTAGTTTTCTATAAGGTTGAGATTTTAGCTCGAAGATTGAATGAGTTGAGCCCCAGGCTCAGTGCAATTTCGAACCACACAGGCTTGAAGTTTACATTAACTTGGACTAGAAGGATATCAACCTTAAACAAGGGGCGCAAGGCCTTGCTGTGACCCGTAGGAGAAATTATTCTGTGCGGACGTCGAACATAGCTCTACATCCGAAGGTCAATCAAAATGAGTCACATCAGTAATACCGATCCGCGGTACCGACGTGACTCATTTTGGTTAGTCTCTAGACGGCGTTCGTTGTCCACATAGAATAATTTCTCGACCCGTTGGGAGCTCCTGGTCAAGTTCAAGTGTTCAACCGACAAAATTAAGATTGAGTCAATAGTATAATATGATTTATAGATACAATCAAATTTCATAAAGAACTAATAAATATGAGGGAGTACCACATTTTAGGATTTTGTCAATATAAGGTGGGAGCATGTCTACCTTTCTTGTAAGCCTCATATCCAAAGTATCTAGCAGGGTGGGCAAAACCTAACTTGTCAAAAATTAAATTATATTATTATTTAAAAAATAATAATTGCTTGTGAACTATAAATTTAATGAACAAAAAGATCAATTTAAATCTTATTTATTTTATATACCAAAAATATAAAATTTAAAAAAGATTTTATGATATTCTTCTTAATATATATTATTTAAGATGAATATAATTAAATTCATTGTTAATTATATTTTGACTCAATTTTATTTTAAAAAACAATTTAATCATGTCACTTTTTTTAAAAAGAAATTAAAATTAAAATTAATTAATTTAATATTTAAAAATTAAATAAATAAAATAGATCAAATACATGCACCTGCTCACAATATCTATGATGCTTCAGCTTAAATAGTCTTTATTCCGGCCTGTACTCAAATCAATGGAAAGCATGAGGAAGAAATGCTTCTTTTCTCAATATCAAAGAGGAAGCAAAGCAGCCATTGTTGACTGCAAAGCAGCATGAGGAAGAAATGCTTCTTTTCATTGTTAATTATATTAACGATGATGACGGGAGGGAGCTCGCCGTTTTGCAATTGGATCAGAAGTAACGACTACGATGACAGGAGGGAGCGAGCTCGCCATTATGCAGTCGGATTAGAAGTAACGAACAAACGACGATGAGGAGAGGGTCCCATCGTTCTGTAGTTGGATCGGAAGTAACGACAACGTGGGAGGGATTCACACAATGATTTCATGTCGGGTTGGGTCAACTCAGAAACCCGACGGTCGGATCCAGGTTGAAATCAACTCGTTAACGCCCATATTTTTAAGTGACTAACTATTTGATGTTCATCTATGCTTGTGGCTAACAATCAATTGCTTTATAACACACTAAAGGTCTCATTTGGAACGGCTTTCTTATTATTTTTTAAAGTAGTTTTTTTAGTATAAAAATTCTTTGAAAAAAAATTTTTGTAATAAAAAGTTGCTTTATAAAGCAATAAAAAAAATGTCCCAAAAGAAACCTATGATGTAATACTCTAAGGGGCTGTTTGGTATGCAGAATTAAGAGGGTAAAGTAAATTAAATGCACGCATTTCTTAAATTAGGTCGTTTTGTTGATTTTGAGCGGAACATAAGGAAGTCCTCCGAAGCATCAGCGGTGTATTAGAGACAGCCGTTCGTGCGACATCGAAACCCGCTCAAATTGAGCGGGTTAGAAATTCTCTCGAGCGAAGTAATGCGAACAAGTCTGTGTGCGCGATGGTTTCGCGGAATCTGAGCTTATAAGTGCTCCCTTCTTCTCTGTTCTTCCCACGCGCGATGGTTTCGCGGAATCGAAGCTCTCTCCCTCTCTCGAAGACGAAGCCTTCTCCCCCAGCTCTCTCTACTCACACGAGCACAGGAGGCGAACCCCTGTTTCGCCGCCTCCAAAAATTGATGGATGTATCTATGGAGACCTTATAATTCACCATTAATGCTAAAGGAAATAAAAATCATACGATCTGATATAAACTGATAACTTTGATGATGGACGTAATTCAAATTGAATGGAGAAATTTATGTCAATCCTTAAAATTAGTTCGAATGATATATTTTAGATGAAAATTTGATATATTTTAACCTATTTTTAGCACAATTTATTTTTGAGAAAACATTTTAAGAAAATAAGATAATGCAGCACAGAAAAGTAATATTTATAAGTTTCTGGTTGGAATCCTGAAGAATAAGAATAACAATAAATAATGCCAAAAGGATCTCAATTCTTTATACTCATTGAACAACTTAACAGGCCAGCCCATCAATATTTTAGCCCAAGTAGCATGGGCCATATGAACAATACTGTTTCATTTGCTCCTACTTTGAAAGGCTATACATGACTCATGTAAGTTTCGAATTCAAAACTTCTTAGTAGATAACCAAAGCTTTCAACAATCATAGTGAATTACATCAATTAGATTCTTTCAATATATATATATATATAATTGATACATCATCGAAAAATTATGTTGATCTAACACGAATCTCGATGCAAAATCAAGTTGAAAACATCCGAAATTAAAATTGGGATCATCCGAATTCCGATTTCAGCAAACTTACAGTCAAACTGAATGTCTCGGAAATATGAAATCAACGATAGCAAATTCACCCAATCCGAGCATAAACAAGTCCAAATCAAGGACCTGAAGTGTTGTTGGAAAGTTCGAGCCACAATTTGGGTTAGCAAACGGTTTCAAAACATGACGTACTTATAGACGAATCGAGCCTTACTCGTCTTAATTAAAAAAATTCAATTTAAAAATATTTATCAAGCTTAATTCGCTTTCATATTTTATTCCACCGATGCCGCTTTCAACCACTATCTAACATTCCCATAAAAAAAATAATAACAATAAAGCGTTACTCGTCTTATGAAAATCATAGAGAAAATTTGCCGATTCATATATTTGATTTTGAAAGTTATATTTATGATTATTTTGTAATAAAATATAAAAGCTTAAAAAAAAAAGATAGAATGGCATAATATTATTTAGGGGTGTTAATAAATGACTCAACCCATTAACTTGAACCTAAACTGCCCTGAAAATTTCACATTGTGATTGACCCGTTTAATAAACGGGTCATATTAGAGTTCGCTTTTCTGACTATTTATTAAATGAGTTTGATTCAGGTTAACCCACAAGTCTTTTTTTAATTCTTAAATGACCTATTTAATTTTTTTTTTCTTAAATTTTTTTTATAATGTGCATTTTTTTTCTAGGAGATACCCTAAGCTTTATAGCTAATAAGTTATAAGAAATAATTTTAAACCAAAATGGATTAACAGGTCGAATACGAGTCATTCATATTATTGGCGGATCAGATTTGGGTTAATCCTTTTTACAAGTTCATAAGAAGATTGTGTATGTTTTTAACGGATTCGACTCAGGCAAATTTCAGGCTGGAATCGAACACGACCTATCAATCCATTTTGAAACTCATAATATCATTTTAATATAAAATCTTAAAAATATTGGGTTTAAAATAGATTTTATAATCATCAAATTTATTTTTGATAAAGAGATTTAAATATTATATTATTATATACATATAATCTTTACATTTAAAATTTGAAATTAATAACTTTTATATGCCTTTAAAAATTATATATAATAATTGAATATCACCATTTTTATTTTGAATTTATTAAAAATTAAATAATTAAGAAAAAATTATTATATTATTTTTAGAATTTTTATAATACTTATAAATATCTTTGTTTTGTTTATGAATTAATTATTTAAATATGACATCCCCATTATAAAAGATAATGCGAGACACAAACTATTTTTCTCCGTTATCCGCTATTTCTCTCTCCAAATCTGATCGAAGTGAGAGGGATTCTTCACAAATCCAAAACCAGCAAAGAGAAGCCCCTCGTTTTCTTCACAAATCGATGCAAGAAATCGGAAAACCTTGAGCTGGGAAGTAGCTTCTTGGAGTTTCCGCCCGTCTGTGATCTTATAAATTGGATTTCGCCAGTTTCTCCTCTCGATTACACGCAGAAACCATTCCGCAAATCTAAATTTAGCTCGATCAAAGACGAAGAGGATCAAGAATCGCATTGTGAGGTATTTTACGCATCTCTGATCCATTATCAACGTTCTTCTGATGTTGAGGTTGTAAATTCAGTGAATGCAGTGTTCTTTAGATTAATGTTGTTCTTTCTTGATCTGTCAGTCTTCGTTCCGACTTCCAATTTCTATTTTATTTTCAGTAGCTTTATTTGAAGATTAGTGTTGCGGCCCATTTGCTTTTCTTTGTTCGACGGGTAACATGACCTAACCCAAGCGGGCGAAGGATATTGGAGCTGTTAAACGTAGGTAGATAGGATTTTGTCATTATGTAAGAATGTTAATGTGCGAGTTCGCCTTCTTGGTAGTTTACTATGCAGTTCAACATAAACGGTCTGTTTTTAGTAAATCTTGAGAGGATTAAAAACTGAAAACTATTGACATCGCGACTAAATCGGTTGACTATCTGTTTCAGAATTTAAGATTTTTGGGAGAAATACCTAAATTTGTGAAATCTTGTGAGTGTTGAGAGTTAAGGAATCTTGTATTTAATTAATAACGGGATTGAAACAAGATTAATCAAAATAGTAGGATTTAGAGGCTGGTAAGCTTGAATTAGGATTTTATAAATTTTCTAAATCCAAATTTAGTAAATCTTGAGAGGATTAATATTTGAAAACCGTTTGACATGATAATTATTAAATCTTGGTAAATCCTTATAAATTCTTGGGCTATGTATTCCAGGATTCAAGATTGGTGAGAGCGAGAAATCCTGAATTTAACCAGAGTTACAACAGGGTTTATCAGAACAGTAGGATTAACTTCTAAAAGTTCTTTTGGCAGGATTTTAACTGATTCTTGCTTAAATCCTTCCTAAAATAAGATATCAAACAGCCCCTTAAAGTTTTAGATTTTGGCAACTGATAACACTTGTGGCCGGCTCATGTTTATTTTCTGGAACTTGCATTCAGGTTTAGCACATTTGTTGCAGATATCTGTTGAAGTTCAAGTTGATTTCAATAAACTAATCAAGCCCTACAAGACTCTGGGAATCAAAATTCCTTGTTAAGGGTGTTCAGTTAATCAAGTTGGAGATCTTGGTATAGTGTAAGGACAATGTCTCTATTGTCGAAGTTGCGTTGCATTACTGTTGATGTCACAGGAACTTTACTAGCTTACAAAGGAGAGCTTGGAGATTACTACTGCATGGCAGCTAAAGCAATAGGATTGCCGTGCCCCGACTATAAACGGATGCACGAGGGCTTTAAGACAGCATACACAAACATGGCAAAGCTCTATCCTTGTTTCGGACATGCGGCAAAAATGCCTAATATTGATTGGTGGAGGACATGTGTGAAGGACTCCTTTATTAAGGTATGCATAACATACTATGACTGTTATTACAATTACAATCAGTTCAAGTGATGTTATTTGCCTTATTTCTTCATTTATTTAATTACCGTTCTTTCCTATGTTAATGAACTAATCTTTACAGTGTAGCACATTAAATCTTTGCAGTGTAGAATCTATAGATAGATGGAGCAAATAATGTATATGGTTCAAACCTGAAAAATGCCTATGTGGGTTATATATTAGATCCTTCCATAGTTTTTAGACTGTGTAGACTAAAAAGGAGATAAATTGAGCATGATACTGGAGTTTGATGGATTCATTTTCAATACTCAAGCTTAGACTAATAGGGGAAGTCTAGCCACTTTCCAATAATCTTGTTTGCTTTTACAAACCTCAGCTGCATTATAAGTTTTTATGTTGGTCATCACTCCCTAACTACTAGCCTACAACAAAACAATGCCAAGTAGCTTTTTCCACAATGTCTTCACTGTAAATTATGTAGGGACACTCGAATTGCTCAATCATGGAGGTTCAACCATGGGAACCATCTGTAAGCCATTCTAACTTGAATAAGGGCATCTCCAACCGAGCTACTCCATTCATGTGTTTGGAGCTTCAACCGAACTGCAAAACTTCCAGTATTTGGTTGCGGGTGAACAGTGCGACGTCGATATTGGCGTGACACTGTTCACATGCGTTATTTTTTTGTCTCTATCGAATTTGCCGAAAAAACACGCGAAAGAGGAGAAAGACGGTTACCTTCTACGAAGGATGCAAAATGGAGTTCGATTGGAGATGAATCACACTATTTTTTAGTTTCATTGCATTTTGGAGTGAAAAATGAGATTTTCAGTTGGAGATGCCCCAAACATTAGTTTTTGATGCCGCCATTAAGATGTAACATTAGTAAACATGTAAGCTTATATCTTTTTTTTTTAAGGTTTTACTTTGTATTGATGTGAGCTTTAGCGATGGTTGTTATATTATGGAGCTTAATCTTTTACCCTACAAAGAAAATGCAATGCATAATCATTAATTGAACGAATATATGATTTTATGCATTGATCTTCTTTTCTAATTGTGATCAATGTTTCTATTGCAAACATTGCAGGCTGGCTATGATTATGATGATGAAACATTCGAAAAGGTGTTCAGGCGCATATACTCAACCTTTGGTTCATCAGCTCCTTACAGTGTGTTTCCAGATTCTCAGCCATTTATGAGATGGGCACGGAAGAATGGCCTCATTGTTGGCGTTGTTAGTAATGCAGAATACCGATACCAGGATGTTATTCTCCCTGCCTTAGGTTTGAATAAGGTAACAAATGCTTCACTGCCAACAATTTTGATCAACCATCTCTTCTTTAAAGGTTTGTTTGACTAAGGCCTTCTCCAACCGAACTCCAAACGCATGAATAGCGTCGCTCGTGAGCTCTAGCCAAACGGCAAAACTTCCGGTATTTGATAGCTGGTGAACAGTGCAACGCCAATATTAGCATTGCATTGTTCACCTGCGTTATTTTTCTGTCTCTACCGGATTTTCCGAAGAAACGCGTGAAAGTGAGAAAGCTGGTTACCTTCTTCCAAGGGCACAAAATGGAGTTCGATTGGTAATGAATCACTCCTAGGGGTGTCAATATTTGACACGACACGAAAGTCCGACCCGTCAACCATTTGAACACGGGTAAGTTCCGGGTTTGATCCGAACCCGACCCGTGACCCGAAATTGACACCCCTATTCATGTCATTTTTAATTTCACTGCATTTTGGAGTGAAAAATGGGATTTTAGGTTGGAGATGCCCTAAAGATATTTTCACCTGCACTGTTTTTCAGGGATCGGAGTGGGACTTTGGAGTTTTCTCAGGCCTTGTGGGTGTCGAAAAACCAGATCCTAAGATATATGAAATTGCACTTGAGATGGCTGGAAACATAGCACCAGAAGAGGTTCTTCATGTGGGTGACAGCTTGAGAAAGGACTATTTACCAGCTCGGAGTGTAGGCATGAAGGCACTGCTTCTGGATAGATTCAGAACACCTGATGCTGAGAACTGGAGGCAGTCGGGTGCTCCTGTTTTTCCAGATCTTGTTGCTGTTCAGGATTGGCTCGCTAAGACAGAAGAAGCTTTGGCAGGCCAGAGAACTCAATAATGATGAGAGGTTAGAAGCCTACAAACTAGTTGGATAAAAATGCATTCTTAGTATATTTGCAGATTTTCATTTGCCATGAACTTCTAGAAGAGCTTTCAGTGAAAGAACTATTCCTTTTGTTAGCAAAGAAAAATTTTATCAGCAAATCCTCATAAAAAAATTTAGAAATTTTATAAAAAAAAATACAATATGGCACTGAAATTCATTAAATAAAATCAAATAAATATACTTAATGTAAATTTTATTAGAGCAATATATCGGATGAAATTATTTTTTAATGAGAGGTAATCTCTAATATTCGCAGATTATCTACTGACTAGATAATTCGAAATTGGTTTGAATTGGTTTATATTTTAAATTTATTATCTATTATTTAGAATTGTATGATTTCAATTTTTTAGTATTTATACTCTTTAAAGGTACTATTAATTATCCTGATATTAATTTTTTAAATTATTTATTATGAAATGACATTATATTTTATTATTATTCAATGTAAGATATTATGATGTAACTTAAAATATAAATATTTACAATTTAATAATTTTATCTTTCCAAAACTAGCAAAAAAATAAAAAATAAAAACAAAGTGGGCCAGTAATAAAAATGGGACCAAGTTTGAGTCTGAACAAATTTACTTTAAACCCAAAATTTTAAATCCATACATGTTAGACAATAATTTAATATTTTTATATCAACATATTTTTTTTTTTTATATATTAGATGTAAGATTAAACTCAATATTCTCACATAATTTAAATAATTTTATCCTCATGTGAGAGATCCTTCCATCAATCATTAAACATAATTTTTTTTCTACATTATGAAGCATCAAATACCAAGAGCTCACCTAATCAAAAGGGAACCTTGCTCAACTACATTAAAAACTGCCAAAAATTAATGGTAATCACAAACCATCCATTTAGGTTTTGTTTGAGATAATTTTCTTACTGTTTTATGAAGTAATTATTTAATACAAAAGTTTTAAATTAAAAAATATATAAATTTCTTCATAAAATAATAAGAAAATTATCCTAAAAAAAGCCTTAATCCTAATAAAATAATCAATCTAGATATCATTTATTATGAAGGCTCGTTTGGTATGGATTTTTTCCTTCTTCTTAAAGCAATTTTTTAGTACAAAACTTGAATTTTTATAAATGCTTTAATAAGTAATAAAAAAGTCATCTCAAACAAAATCTAAGTAATAACCAAGATAAAGCAAAGCTAAGCATGATAGAATAATCATCTTATTTTAAACTTAAAAAGTGAAAGCCAATCGCAATGTTTTTGTACATAAATATATTTTCTCATACGTTATATAAAATTAAACCAATTTTTTACCACAGTAATAAACATTATTTATCTTAATTTTTTATAGCTACACAATTTTTTGATTAGATATAAGATGTGTTCTTACATAAATGTTACATATTTTACCCAGATATAAAAACATGCTATCCAATAAATAAATTCTTAAAAGGTGCTTAATTTAAACATTTTACAGCATCAACCCTAAAATTTACATTTCACCCTATTTGTACCATTTAATGGGCCCTAACTTAATTGTAAATTTATTTGAGGATTCATTCTAAAATTTACACTTTGCTATATTTATAACAACTCATGCGGCCCTAATTTAAGTGTAAATTTATTTGAGGATCACCTCTAAAATTTTCATTTTTTTTTCATATTTATAGTAATTAATGTGGCCGTAATTCAACTGCAAACTTCATGACGGAATATAGTACTAATTTTTGTTTAATCAGAAAACGGTGCTATCAGAATAGTTATTCCATCAATTCTTCTGCAATGACAGTACCTTACAACTTTGAAAATTAAGAATATCATTTGAAACATTTTTCTTATTGTTTTCTAAAATAATTTTTTAGCTCAAAAATTTCTTAAACGAGATCGGGCCTGCAGCTGAGTAGTTAACAAAAGATATTCTTCCCATCCACCAGAGCTCGATTCCCCTAACTGTTTAAAAAAAAAAAAAAACTTCTTAAACTAAAAATTTGTGTACTAAAAATCTGCTTTAAAAAACAATTAAAAATCTGTCTCAAATGAATGCTTAGGCTTTGTTTGAGATGGCTTTCTTAATGCTTTATAAAGTAAATTTTTAGTATTAAAATTTCAAAATTAAAAAAAAAATTATACTAAAAATTTATTTTAAAAATCAAGAAAAAAATTGTTCCAAACGAAATCTAGGACAACTTTCTTACTGCTTCATAAAGTGCTACTTTCTAATACAAAAAGTAAAATTTTTATGCTGGAAAGCTACTTTAAAAAGCATTGAGAAAGCTAGGCTTCATTTGGGATGACTTTTTTATTGCTTCTTGAATGAATTTTTTTAGTACAAAAATTTTAATTTTCAGCTGCTTCAAAAAGCAAAAAAAGAAAAAAAAAAAAAACTATCCCAAACAAAGCGGTAGTCTCAAGCTTCCTTTGAAAGACTTTCTTAATGTTTTATAAAATTGCTTTTTAGCACAAATTTTTTGAAACCACAAAAAAAAAAGGATTAAAGCTGACCCAAACGATTAAACGAAGCCTCAATTTGGGCTCCCAATATTTATAATATTTGAAACATAATAGCATAAAATTTATTTACATAGCCATGACTATAATTCAAACGTTTTGAGACAAATACTCTCTTCAGGTTGATAAATGAGAACAACAACAGACTCAACATAAAAAATAAAAAAAGCTGGCAGAAAAGATTCTGCAAGTAAAGGGAGTTAATTTTCAGGTTCAGCTGGAAGAATGGCGACGATCTCAAGTAATTAATCATACACTACTTAGAAAATTTTTGTTAGAACTGATTCAAATACAAAGTAAGCTTATATCTTTTAAGCAGATGGAAGGATATTTGAATAAACAAGCAACATTGATAAGCATTACTGGACTACGGAACATCTATTGACTTGCAGGATTTCTATTCCATGACAAATAGGAAGGATCCCCAATTGTCCTATAAAAATATAAGAATAAGTAATAAGAAAAAAAAATTAAAATGAAATAAGTACACGTTTCACCATGAGTTACCAATTTTACCAAAAATTAAAACAAAATTGTGTTAGAATGTACTAATTAAATTTTGTATAAGGTGAATCTCCAAGTCATTGAATTTATTTTAAGACTATTGAAATAAATAAAAAATTGGTCAACTTATATTGCACTCATCTCAAAATATATTGAATTGTTTTGAAATTTATGATAAAAATTTTAATCATAATATTTTGAACCAATCATCACCTTCATCATAGAAATCCAACACATTTAGAAGGGTAGGGATTCAATTCAATTCTTATTTCACAATCATTCTAATTATGTTTGATTCAGGTTTCGTTTGGGACAGCTTCTTTACTGTTTCTTAAAGCAGATTTCTAGTTCAAAAATTTTAATTATTATAATAAAAAAGCTACTTTAAGAAGCAGTTAGAAAGTTGTCCCAAATGAAACCTCAGTCTCAGCCGTTCAAGGTGCGCAGCCTTAACTGAAGATCTACCTAGAAGTGCCTTCAGAAACTTCACAAGCACAGATGCATATTCCAGCAGATCAGCTGCACCATCTAATTGAAATTAAAAACAAAATAAAAGCTCTCTGCACCCACCGAACAACTTATTTACTAAAGATAAAACTAGGATGTCAGCTAACGAGTTTGTTTTATTCCTCCAAATCGAAATTCAGTTTTATAAGAAAAATCGCGTTTCTACAAGATTACAATGGAGCATAGTTTGTTTTTAGGCATTTAGGGTTCTTTTGGGGCATCTGTAACTATATGTATTTTGAATTTTGCTGTGGAATTATAGGCACTCCCTCCATTAAAAAAAGTGGGACACTATCTTCTTTACAACTACCACTCTCTAATTTATCTGGTTGAAAAACACTACTTTTCCCAACATAGATTTCTAAATAATAGCAAGAAAGTTAAGACTAAACAAAACTGTTATTGTTTTCTACAAAGCTGTGAAAAAAGCTACCCCATACAGACACTTAGGCTTTGTTTGGGACGGCTTTTATACTGCTTCTTAAAACAAATTTTTAAAAGAAAAAAATAATTTTTGTACTAAAAAGCTGCTTTAAGAAACAGTAAGAAAGCCGTCCTAAACGAAGCCTTAATTGTCTGTAGATAAAAATCTGCTATAAAAAATGCTAATCTTATTTTTATTCATCTTGTGTAATAATGAAATCATCGCTAGGTGATTATAGAGTCTACAATTTATAATGATTTCTATTTTCTACCTATATTCAATCTAATAATAAATTATAATAAAATGTATCATTTCTTAAAACATAATTTCAAACTTTAATAACCCAATGAGCCCTTAGGAGTTAGGAGAAAAGGCACACTCATTCTAGGAAATTGTGGTCAATGGATCAGCTTAAAATATATTAATATTCTGTGCAAATGTATTATGCATGTATAGATGCAGAAATAAAAGTTGCTGAACTAGAAATTGGTAGTAGGCACTTACCTGGGCTTTACCAAGGATACTACAGTGAAGGCTGTTGATAAGAAGAAGCATAAGCCACCAACAGAAAGATATGCGATACCAAGGAAGCTGTTCCTTCCTCCAAGCCAGGTTGTGGTTGAAAGTACCAGCTTTTTCTTGCCACCAAAACTGTAGGTGTTGTAGTTGTTCTCCAGCGCCACTGTAATGATATCATTCTCCTTAAGATCCACATCTATCCTTCCATACAACTTCCTAAATGTTGGAAGGGCCGCGGTACGCATCCAAACAATAAGATCCTCTTGCTCACTTAACTGTCAAGAGACAAACATAATAATTTAGAACAAGACCAGCAGTGAGAAAATAATATTTACTTTTTAAGGCTTCGTTTGGGACGGTTTTGTTTCTGCTTCTTAAAATAGCTTTCTAGTACAAAAAATTTTTAGGACTGTTTTCTTCCAAACGAAGCCCAAGTCTTCACAATACCCTTTTATATATAATATGATAATACTCTCATGGCATCTCTGCGTTGTAACCATCCAATCCTAAATCTATAAGTTATATCTTCATCGGCATCGCTATTCTTCTATATAATAGATCCAATGTACGTGTACTTAACACAGTTAGGTATCAGTATAACTTCTAATAATATTAATTCATAATTATTAATATAAAGCTGATTAAAATTATATATTATATAATCAGTCTTTTCTATTAATTTTATATTTGAATTCTAAATATTTTCAACATTATTCTAAGTTCCATTTATTTTAGAAGTATTGCTGATTAAAACTTTAATATGCAAAAAACATACACAAAGACACCTCACATAGAATATCTTTTGAGCAGATCTGCATAACTAATATAAAAAACGTATGATGACCACAATCGAGATGAGAGCAGAGTTGTCATGTTTGAGCAAGTCAAGGAAAACTATTTGGACCGACTTTAAAGAAATTTACTCCCTTTCGTCCACAAGTAACACACATCTTCTGGATGATTTTCTCTTAGAGGACGGATATCTTTTCAAAGCCCAAAAGATTTGTGTGAGCACTAAGTTACAATTCTCCACAACCTTTCATCCTCAAACTGATGGACAAACTGAATTGGACAATAGGAGTTTAGGTAATTTGTTAAGGTCCCTAGTAGGTGAACACATTATGGATTGTGATTCCAAACTCCCCACAGCCGAATTTGCCTACAATAATTATGTGAGCCGCACCACTAGTTTAAGCCATGCTGAAATTGTTTATGGGTACAAACCTCGACATCCATTAGATCTTATACTCATGTGTTCTAAGTATAGGATTTTTTAGTATGTACCCTCATTTGCATCGCATTTGCATGAACTACATAAGGAGATTGCACACCGAATTGAACAAAGCAATATTAATTAAAAACTTCATGCTACGAATATTTAAAATTTTTGAGGTTCGTGATTCAGTGATGGTGTGGATTCGTCCGGAACGGTTTCCATAAGGAACTGTTTAGAAGTTGCATACTAAAAGTGCGAGACCAATCAAATTAGTTAAGAAAATTAATGATAATGCTTACATGGTGGATCTGCCTGTAGAGCTCAATATTAATTCCTCTTTTAACATAGAATATTTAGTAGCCTATGAGGGCCCAAAGTTAAACTCACCAAATCCACTTCAAAATGAATCTTGTGTGACCCCATCCTGTGAGAACCCAAGCCTATCTCCACTCCCAAATATTCTCAAAATACCTACGGCGGAGAAGGTTGACATGATCCTGAGCGATGATATTATTTCCATTAAAGAGGGTGGATGAAGAAGGTATTTGATTAGGTGGAGAGGTAAGCCAAAGTTAGAGGACACCTGGCTAGAGCACGAGGAGCTCCATCGGATTAATCCAGATGCATTAGAGATTTCTGAGAGTACCAGGGACGAGTACTCGACGGAGTCGAGCTTTTTTCCACCCCGGGAGAATGATGAGGACATCCAACCTTGGAGAGTCTACCAGAGGCGTGGTCGTCGAGCTACGGCCATGATTACACCGCTTTACTTTTGATTATCATTGTATTAGATTTATTATTTGATGTATTAGTTTATGAGTTTTGTTATACTTTTTCTTTTATGCCTCCACTTAGGGGCCTAGTCATGTGTATATCCTAGGGGCAAGTTGGTCTTTGTAATTTTCTTCATTGTATTGGCTATATTGGCTATTTAAAGCCTCCCGCTTCTTTTTTGAGGATTAATGAATGATATTACGATATTTCTGCACTTATGTGTTTTGAGAGAACTTGAGAGTTCTTGGAGAGATTGAAGTCTCTAGGTGAGGGCATCGCAATACCCACCAACCGCAAGAAGTATTCGGGTTCGTGGTCAACATCGTCGCTCCCCATCCTCCCTCCCTTCACCTTGTACCGCCAGCCAAATCCCCTCCTCAATCTCTCGGCCGAACCCCACCCTCCTTCTAGCCGCCGGCCACCCAAATTCCTCTCTCCCGTTCTCGGCCAAGCCCCACGACCACCACATCCTAACTTGCCACCCCCATCTCCCACCTCCAAAACCGCCAAAACCTTAGCCCTAACATAACCGCCAGCGCACCCCCCCCCTTGCTTCCAAAATTTAATTCGTCTCGATGATGTTTTCCAGTTATGAGTTCCACTTAAGTTAAGAAAGTATTTGATTTCAAATTCCAATCAATTTTGAAATTGAAATACTTTCCTAATTTAAGACAATATATTTTAGGAAAGTTACTTGAATTAAATTTATAATTTGATTTGATTTAAATTAATTATCCCTAATTTAAGATCCCAATTAAAGCAAACATTCAAACTCCACCCTAAACCCACTTGGCCAAGGATGTCGCCGGCCCCCCTTCTCTCTTTTCCCTATTCCACACTAACTCCCTTTCCTTTTGAGGATCCAATAAATTCCCTTTTCCTCATGAATGGCGGATTCTGAACAAGACCACGGATTTGTCTATGATGACTAAGGCCATGTCGATATCCTCAACTCATTGTTCTTCGACCTCAACTTAGAAGATTGACCAAAGTACCAAACTGTAGAGAAATACATAGATAGGATTGTTTTCACCCTCGCTGAAGCCCGCGACGACCACCTCTCCTCCGTGCAGTGGAAGATCATCTCCAAACCCTGACAAAGGTAAACTCTTCCTCCGAATTTTATATCTTCTGACTAGCTCTCAATTGTGGTCATAATTGAATCATAAAGGTTGTGTTAACTCCCTCGGTTAAGCTTAGTAATTTAAAGAGACGAATGAGTGATCTATTTATAATAGCACCAAAAACAAAACTATAAAAACCATCTCTAAGCGCATGTTTTGCAGCTTTAATGAATATGAACTTCTCATATTTGCATCACCTTATGCGGAAAATGGTAAATAAAATACATTTCGTGTTGTTATAGTTACATCTAAATACCCTTCAACTAGTAAGAAATTTCTTGATAAATATCAATGTGACATAATAATATGACTAAGGCATAAATTTGTAGCGATGTTGGATGTATGGGAATCGGGTATGAATCTTTTGATCAGATTGCTTGATATTATACTAAATCAAACTCTATATTTTCTTATTATTGTGTTCTTTTTCTTTTGTTTTCTAAGACTTAATGAAGTCGTAAACTCAGAAGATCATGTGGAAAAAGATATAGTTTAATGTTCATTATGAAGAGAAGATGGTTCTAGATCCAAAAACATGCCTTGCCTCCTAAGTGAGTAAAGTCAGATTAAATTTTGAAACTTTAGTGGTCCAAACAATACTGTATGGCGGGCTTAAACACCCGTTAGGCTCAAACCAAATAGAAAGGTTAAGCGTAATGGCGGCATAAAGCAATGTCAATTAGCAGTGAGATTCACAGTTATTGCATGGAAAAATTGCTAAAATAATCAAGCGAAGATGGACATTTGTGATCCATCCCGTTTAATAAATTTCCACATTAGCCTCTTATCCTTGAATACAGTAAGCAGTGCACTCGACTCACTTTATCTTCTAAACAAAAGAATAAAAAGCCAGCAGCAAAGTAATAAAATAGTTACACGTATCTTGGGGTCCAGCTTTCCACCGCCTATTAGAGCTCCATTCTGGAAGTTTTTGGGATAGACATCAGATCCAAACTTGTGATCCCTATCACTCTTCCATGAAATATCCTTCTTATTCACTATCATTGCTTCACCATTTCCACGGTTGAAGCTGTATGTGTCATTGAACAAACTCCATGCTATAAGACCACAAGGGACAATAGGCATTCCATCTGCAGTGGTTTTTTCTGGGTCACAGCCACTCGTCTCATTAGCTTTGCTAGCATCCCTCAGTTGTTGATCATTTCGGCTCTTAACATACCTGAGATTTAGCAGCCATACATATGAGAATAAGCATCCTTCCACATTTAAGACACTTTTTTTTGTACATATAAAGCTAAAAGCTCGGACAATGACATGATAGTATGGAACTATAAATGACAATAGTGAATTCTAATCCACTAATTTAACATATATGAACTTTAGAGCTTATTAGAAGAAAAGTAATCAACAATTATGATAGACCGGTCCACGAGGGACCGGACCAGCCGGCCCAACACAAGAGCAGGCCCCCTGTTTACAGCAAGTGGACCCCTGCTGTTTCCCTCCCCCCTATGGGTGAGGCCCAATGTTTAAGTAGAGAGAGGAAGGGGTAGCTAAGTGGGATTTTGAATTGGGGGAGGGCTGTTTAGTCATTGGAATATTATTTTGTATCCTTTAAGTAGAGGGGTTTGCCCTAGGGTTAGGGTTATCTTGTGATTTGTTGAATTTTGTTTTGGTGCTTATGTTTGCTTGGGCTCTAGCAGCATCTAGGGAGTTAGGAGAGATAGATCCTCCTCTTGAACTGAGGATCAATTGTATCTTGCTATTTTCTTCCTTATTTCATCAATTACTAAGGTGTCCTTGCTATTCGTCCTTTTTTCTTTTTTTTTTAGATTTGTGGTGGGAAATCGCTGAAATCAAATCCTTGATAGGATTCTCTTGAGTTCTAAAAGTGTTTCCTATCAAATTACCACATATTTATAATTTATGCTTATAGAAACCAAGCCATAGACATAATTAATAGATAGGGTTTTGAATTTGACTCAAAGATTGAGCTCTTGAAATTCAAAATCATTTGAATTGATCTCCAAGCAAATCAGACATGGTTATATTAAATAACTTGATTTGATCTCAATTCATATATATATATATATATATATATATATCAATTGATATATATATATATATATATATATATATATAAGTATACTAATGAAGTGCAGCTCTAATTGTCAAGAATTTTAAAAAAAAATGGTGCATACCTCCTATGATTCTGATAGAAGTTGTCAAGCTGATAGTACACATAAATAGGCTTGTCCATATCCTTGGGTACCTGCAACAGGTATGACAAACAGTATGCTTACTGAATTTTTCTTGAATAGCCTCCTTATGGAAGTATGGAACACGATTCTTGTTTTAAATCCTTCATATACTGTTGCTGTCATGCAATCCTCTTGAGTTTAATCTACAAACCCTACTAACAAATAACAAACCAACACTCTTTGAAAACTTAAATCATTTATCCAGATGAGTGCAGGACAAAAAAGTTGCTAGATAGCAGTATTGATCCTTATCTTTTTGAAAATATAGTTTAGTGCTCAATGAAATAAAAAAAAAATATTATTATTATGGTCAAATCAAAAACCACCAATGTGATTCAAACTTGCAAGCCTTACCTTAAGTTTCCGTGTACAGGTTTTGCTAATAGATGGATTCTGAATGTATCCAATCTTATCATGCGTCATGTTAGGTGGTACGCATGCAATTTCGTACCGATCCACAATTTCAACAACCTAGAAAGTAGAAATAGGGAATGTTATTAAGATGCAGCCGTGGTTAAAAATTAAGATACTGATCACAATTGCATGGCAAACAATGTTTTACATCATTAGAAGCAAGCAGCGCAACGACACCGATAGGAATGAAGATTACGCCAATCAAAGTGAATACTGAGATCACCTGAAAATGATGGCAGGTTCTGCAACAGATAGAACTCTTGCTTAAATTTAACAACTATGATCATAGTAACTTACCCATTGTGGTGTCAGAATAGGCTTGCATGCTGGAAGCTCTTGCTGGGTGAACCTCGAATCTGAAACCACCAGCAAATAACATCACTGGAATTCCAGGGAATTTCGGGGGGAAAAAAACATAATAAACAAAAATATAATCCCAATATGAGGGAGAAAATATTTGCAGAATAAAAAATGCCCCAATAAGAACCAACAAACCAAAAATACACAGCGGAAAGCCAGACCCATGCGAAAAAAACCGAACAAGCAATGCATACCTATACAAAATCTGGCAAGCTGAAAAAATGGCGAAAGAAATCGAGCAAACGAATTCCGCATAATGAATGGTATAAATTATTACATTTCGGTCTGTTCGAATTCCTCCGAGCAGCATTTCCGTCCCCAGATCCCGCACTAGGCCTGGCCGCAGAGATGCCAGTATCGTTCTTCATCGTTTATATAGGAGCGATGATTCAATAAAAAAGAAAATTTAGATTGGTTACTCCCAAATCCTCAACAGAGTAGAGAAAGACTGCTGATCCCTAACCCCCAACTCTCCTCTCTACCCTTTTATCTCCTCTCAGTGGTTGTTGAGTGTAGAAGGGGATGAAGAAGATAGGGCACGGCAAAGCCACATCTTCACCCAGCAGAGAGAAATAGGCAATTGCGGAGGAGGAAAAAACGTGACGATCTGCCAAATAAGCGACTCCAGAAGCTCACCGCGCGAAAAAATTGAAGGTTTCGGTTGATGGCTTTCTAAAACAATAAAAAAGCTCCAATTTTAAATCTCCAATTACACTATAAAATTGAGTATTATTTAGATATTTATAATCATTTTTATTTATAAAGAAAAATATAAATAAGATATTATTCAATAATATTGCCTATGATTATATATATATATATATACACACACGGGCGCACGCTTATGTTATTATCAATAATCATCATAATAATGTGTAAAATCAGTTGGATAATTTGTGTCATTTTGATTAGCTTGTCTTTATTAAAGGCATTAAATTAATTATTTAGATTTAAGCATGCTACAAATAAAAATAATTTTATATTTTTCTCTATAAAATAGTCATTTAACTCTTAAAGTTATATATCAATAATTATGTATAATGTTTCACCTTGATAAGTACATAAGTTTCTTATATCTTGAAATTTACAGTGAGAACAACCATGAGTTACCAATAAAAAATAACCAGATAAGAACATTTTCTAAAGTGAATATAAATCAGATGATGCCTAGATAATTCTTATAACAACAGTGAATTCCATGAAGAACAAAAATATAGAACATAATATGTATCATATATAATAAAGAAAATTTAATTATTGAAGAAATCAAGCTTGCAAGTATATATCTATTTATTCAATTATAGACTAGCATCAACACAATCTGCTCATTGAGCTTGAAAAATTTCATTAGTAACCTGAGAAGACAATATGAGTTGATAAACTTAGAATAAACTCAATAGGTATAAACTTCTCCACAATGAAAAATATTAAACAGAAATCTAATTAGCTCATCTAAAATTCATGATTTTGAAATCTAAATATCATGCAAAAAACATCAAACCAAATAATTTGATAGATATAACAACTACACTGTGCAGTTAAGGTTGGACTTCTCCAACTGTTAACACAACTTTGGAACACTAACAGCTTGCTAGGTTACCAATCTACCTAAAACTTTATAATTTCTAACATAAATATCAAAGCTCTCTCCTCTCAAAACAAGATAACTAATCCCACATATTACATCTAAAATGGTTTATTAGGATCTCATTAAGTAAATATTACAAAAGGATATTGGTTAATTTGCAATCTTGATTTAGGAACTGCAAGGAAAAAATAGTGCAGATAGAGATTTCACCTCCGATTAGTTGTTGAGAACAAGCGGTCAAAAACTCTAATAATATAGTCAATGAATGGGAGCATGCACTCTTTGTAATATTATTTATCTTTTTTGGAATATCGATTGTCATCAAGGTATATTAATTTTACAAAGAAGAAAGCACAAGCCCATTGTAATAACGTATTTTAATCATGCCTAATAATTTTTTTAGAAGTCAATATAAGGCCAAATTACAAATCATATTTGCCATAGCATTGATGCTATAGTATTTTAATTATAATATTATTTTCATAACTTTTGTGTACTTGTATGAATCTGTAAGAATTTGACATTTATTGGTACAAGTGATAATTTTGGGACCGTTAAGTATCCGTTTTGCAAACTGATTTCACCCAAGATTCTAAATAAAAGTTTTCTATTTTAATGATATTTTTATATAATTTTTGAAGCCCCAAAAAAATTTATGTGAATTTTATGCTGATTAAATTATACAAATATATTAATTATTATAATGTCTTAAGCCGCTATCATTAAAATCCAAATTGCGTCATCTGATTTCATTTTACCAACCCAAAGAAAGGGATGAAAAATTTAGAGAAAAAAGAGAGGAGAGAGAAAAAGAAAATTAGGCTTTAAAGGCTGTAGAACTATTTTCGTTCGTCGAACATATTGGAAGATTTTTCTTGTCTCGCTGTAAAGAATCTTTATCCTATTTTCAATGTCAATAATTTTGTCTTTTTTTATATTTTTTTGATCAAATTTGTATTTATGTTACCGAAAAATGAGGATAATTTTATATTGGTAAAACTTTTATCGAGTAACTTTTTATAATTTATAGAGATTGAGATTATGAATGCTTTAAATATTTACTTGTGATTTTCACCATATGGTTTTTAAAAAAACATCAATTTTTATCTATTCAGAAATTTATTTTGACCTCTAAAAATAGTGATTTAATTCAATTAAAATTTAAGAATAATGTTTACACAATCTCTTCTAATTTTATTAAATTATAAAAATTTGATTTTTTTTTTCTAAATAGGGGTTTTTACTTAGCAGGCTCTTTAGCTCATTATATGTGGTAAATATTTTATGTCAAGGCAGAGAATTATGTGTGTAAGATTGATCAGATCAGGATTCCTCAAGTTCTATTTTTTTTTAAGATATTCTTTTGTACTTAAGATAGATTAGTAGTAATATGATTGTATAAATCCTATATAGCGTATATGATTTTTTTGAGAAATGAATATAGATGTGCATATAGATATTTTGAATTCTAAAGTTATTTTTGTTATTTATTTATGATAAATGAAATTAGATATATATGGTATTATTTATTAAAAGATTAAAAAATAATTATTTCAAATTAGATTATGCGGCATCACACCCATGGCTCAAATTCAACTTAATTCTCAAAATAGAAAGCTATGGTCGGATTCTTGACGCATATTTTGCTAAAATGCTTAATAAACTCAACTATTCTTCAAGCCTTGTAATTGAAGTGATTAGGGTTGCAAGTGAGCTTGTTATGTGTGACTCATTTCTTACCGGCATGCATTTAGCTCAAATTCAGCTTGATTCAAGATTTCGTATTTATGTTTGATACGTTATCATAAAATTATCTTGATTGGGCACGAATCTCAATGCAAATCCCAACCCAGAAACTTCAAAAATTAAATCCGGGAGCATCGGAACTCTGATTTCAGCGAGCTTACAGTCAAACTGAGCGTCTCGGAAATACAAACCCAACGACACCAAATTCAACCCAATCCGAGCCCAAATGGGTCCAAATCAAGGACCCGAGGCTTTGTTGGAAGGTTCAAACCATAATTCAAGTTACTAAATGGTCTCCGATTTTAATGAGCTTATACTCGAATCGAACAACTCGAAGAGACGAATCCAACGAGCCCAAGATCACCGGATTCCGACATCACTAAGGTCTTCAAATGGCTGATGAACGGTGTATGATCAAAGGATTCAATATCAGCCGTCCATTCAACCACTCCCTGTTCGCCCCTGATCTCACACATATTTACAAGTCATGTCACTCCAGAAAAATCATAAATAGAGCCTTCATTCTTCACAAGAGGGAGGGAAGTGAAGAGGGAGAAGAAGAAGAGAAGAAGAGGAGAAAAGGGAAAAGGAGAATCCTCTCCTCCTCGACCACCGCCGGAGCTCTTCTCGCCGCCTGAATACGCCGGGATTTTGCGTGATATTCGGAAGAACGCAGGAATTCTTCCCAACTTTCACGTGATGCTGAAAATTCTTCTCAATTTACAACAGAGTTCCCTCTTGACGCCGAAACTCCGCCCAAGTGAAGCCGGAGTTCTCCTCTGCCACCAACAGACATCGAACTTCTACCCGACGTCGAACCTTCACTCTTCGCCAAGTTTATACCCGACGCCGAACTTCTACCGGTTGTCAGACTTCGCTAGACGTCTACGCGAAGATGGATTTCTTTCAATTGTTGGACTTCTACCTGACGCTGTCCTTCTGATCTTCGTCGTCAGATTACAGTCTTTCCGACCTCCGTTGCCCGCCAACTATGGTCCTCCTGACTTAAGTCACCCGCCGACTACAGTCCTTCCGACCTCCGTCGCCAGCCGACTACGATCCTCCTGACTTACATCTCCCACTGACTACAAGCCCTCCGACCTCCGTCGTCTGCAGACTACGGTCCTCCCGATCAAACGAATATGTCAATAGTGATTCTTTGTATTCATATCATGTAATGTACTCTATAAAATGTACATCAAGCTAAGGTATTCTCCCAAGGAAGGGCCTCATTTGTAATTGACTACAATACTAGTGGATTCATTCAAACTTGGCTAGGCCCCGTGATTTTTCCCCCTTTTCAGGGGTTTTCCACGTAAAAATCTTGGTGCCTCATAAATGTTAGACCCTCTCTCTGATTGCATGCCGGATTTTCGTACAACGCTAAGACGATAAACTTTATATTTTTCTACCGCCGCGAATACTCCTGGACGCAACAATGTTCAAACTTGATTTGTTTAAAATCATAGATGTTGGAGGTTGGTTTGAGATCTACTCATATTTAATTTCATTGTATTCTGAAAAAAATCATTTAAAATAATAAATGAGTTTTATTAAGCTATTGACAAGCTTGCTATCAAGCTATTCATTAGTTGAACAAGCTTTAAAAGAAAAATTTTATGAAATGAGCCCATTATAAGAAAGTTTCAGTAATTTTTATTTTTTATGATATCTTCATTCTTCAACGCCTTATTGAGACAGAGGAGAAACCCAAGTGTCGAAAGGCGCAAAGCTTCATCGCCACTCCACAATGGCACTTCTCCGCGTGGCTCTCGCTCGATGCCACCTGCCTGCTTCTTCTTGCTTGCTCCCTCGCTTCACCCGTTGCCAGGCAAGCTTTAATCCTCCACACTATTGTCTTTCTCCTCAATCACTACCAAGTTCTCGTATTACTTGATCACATCCGAGTTCAATTTGCCTAACAAATCGGCAGATGGGTACCGTAACACAACAACCCGCTGTTTCAGTCAATCGCCTGAGGGAGTCCGGGCTACTGAAGACGCAAGGTCTCATCGGAGGGAAGTGGGTCGACGCTTACGATGGAAAGACTATCAAGGTTTCGTTTTGAATCATTGTTAGTATCATTAATTTACTGCTTTTGAATAATGGGATATCCTTGCTGGGTTCCTTCTTCTGTTTATGTATTGAAACGTTTGCTGAATCTACACAATCGGTATGTTGGCTACAATCCATTTGTTTTTTGATATACGAACATATATCGCTCATTTTATTGCTTTCGAACAATGGCCTGTGCTTACCGACCTCCTGCCTTGTTCATGTATTGACACATTTTCTTAATACATCCTATTGATCATTTTTATTAGCTATTTGTTAATTTTTATTTTTTTATGTATGGGGATTCATTTCTGTTGCTGCAACTGTTAATACCATCTAGTGGCCCAGTCGTTAACCATCTTTCAGTGCTCAGTATATGGTATTGAAGGATAAGTGCTGAGATCCACATTAGAATGAAGAATAGTCCCCTACATGATAAGAAATCATAGTTGAGTTCTTAGCATGCTAGTATTGACATTGAAAATTAGCTTAAGCTTTATGTTGATTGGTCATAGTTGTTCATCTAATAGTGCATTGAGCTTAACATGGCCCCCCTTTGTTCTGAGGATGAAGTATTTTATGTTATTTGTGGATTCTGAGAGTCTTAGTAGTTTTTACCATGGTTGAGCAAGGTTAATGAGTGACCTATGAGCTACATCTAGTTTAGAGTGCTCTTGTTTCGTGTTGCACTTGTTACAATAAATCTTTCGTTTAAGAGGGAATGATGTCACTTATGGTCATCATGTGAGGGAGAGAGTATTAATATACACATGAGAGTGAAGGATAATTTCCCATTATGTATGAAAATAGGATTGAGTTCTTAATATGCTAGCAGTGCCGCTTAGGCTTTGTTTGGGACATTTTTTTTAATGTTTTTTAAAACAACTTTTTATTTAAAAATTTTATTGAATTAGAAATTTTTGTACTTAAAAGCTGTTTTAAAAAGCAATGAGAAAGTTGTCCCAAATGAAGCCTTAGTCCGTTACTGATGCGGACATCCAACCGTCATTAATTTAAATCTGAAATTTAATTTCAGATTTAAATCAATTAATCATTTAATCCTCCCAATTAATGACAATTCAAATTCAAAATTTGAATTTGAATTAGCTTTAATTACTCCTTAATTTCAGGTTTCCATTCTCTCTCCCCAAATTAATTTGGGCTTTAAGTAATCTTGCCACATAGGCAAGTATATGACATTTACGTTTCACATCAGTTACCCATTAGCTTAAGATTTTTTGGGTTGATGGAAGCCCACACAGTATTGTATCATGATTAAATTAAGCCCCCCGTGACACTGTTGCTAACCCGAGAAGGGTCAACCCCATCCACGCCGGTGGCTAGCCATGACACTGTTGCTAACCCGAGAAGGGTTAACCCCACCCAGGCCGGTGACTAGCCCTGATTGCAGCTCTTCACGCTGCAGCAGTAAGAACTCGGTTCTTGCTTTAACCCAGCTAACTCATATTCTATATCTCCTCAGTTCAGATTACAAGACAGCTATTTATAAGCAAGAAAAAGTGAAAAACAGAGGAAGTAGAAAACTGCTCGCTACTCTATTGGCTATACTAAACTATTATTTAAAATACCGCTATGGCCGCCTATTTTAGTAACAGACAACATCAGGCTGGAATTATGTAGCTTGGCAACAGCTCCTGCGTCCCTCCAGATGTACCCCTCATAACAATAATGGGTATTTTACAGTTCCTGTGGTCTTCTGGTTCTCACAAATATTTTGAAACATTTTTCAAATTGTACCATCAATAATCAATATATAGTAATAAATTTCAAGCAGAACTTGTTAGACTGATACCTGTTTGTACTCTTCCAGGTGGAAAACCCTGCTACTGGTGAACTTATTGCAAATGTTCCATTCATGGGCAAAAAGGAAGCTGGAGATGCAATCTCGTCAGCTTACAGTACTTTCAATTGTATGGAGCTAGCAAATTCTAGTCTAATATTTGTTTTTCATTGTTGCAGTCTTCTGTTCCATGTATTTCATACTCAATTTGTTGTTTTTAACTATTTTATGCAATACTGCTTTAAAAACCATGGGTACCGTTATTGTATCCCATTCTATGCTTGCCGTTTGGCCTGAAATGTTCTGCCTTTGAAAGTGAACTGAGTAAAAATTTTCTCTTTTGCAACCTTATATCAGGTTACAATGGTGCAATAACATGGTCAGGCTAAACCTTTTCTTTGACCTACCTATTTTTCTGACCAATAATACTTTTTTTGATATGTCCTATAATTACATTGATAAGACCTTTTTGATAATATCAAGTTATGATGTTGCAAGTTACGTTGATACAACCTTTTTAATTCTGGCCTACAATTATGACTCATTTGAACAACTTTAGGAGAGAAAAATTATTTACCTATATAAATGATAAATTGTTTCATCATCGTTGTCTTGTCCAAACAATGAATCTTCATTTTTCATTTGATTCCATTGTGTTACTTAAAGTGTCAATTACCCCTTTTTTCTTCCTAATTTTCCAACAATAATCTCGCCTTCAACAGGCATCGGTGTATTTTCTGCCATTCATTACATATATCAAAATTAACTATGTTTGTACCATATCATCAATAAATGGCATCCAATCATTCTTCTAATATAATTATTCTTTAATTTATCCTTTCAAGTTTAACACATCTTTCAAAATGTTTATATTTTCATCATTCTCAATTTAACTACCTTTGACTTTTTTAATGCAACACTTTGATCCATACAACATGTAAGCCTAATTAATTAATTATTTTTCTTGATGAAACAAACATATGAGAGAAAAAATGCAGTTTAGATTAGGAAAAAATAAAATTAATGTCAGTATACTATGCTTGTTGAATCAAAGTGCGCGATAATTTTGGTTATTTTAGGCCGAATCCAATTTTCCATGGCTTTTGTTTTATAATTGTCAAAGCTAGTATGGTGTTTTGTATTCAGTGGTAAAGGCTTTTAGTTTGCATTTGACACCGGCATTCTGTTTTCTTTAGTAAATTTAATATTATTTTTTCTGTAGCTTGGAGCAAACTCAGCGCAAGTGAAAGGAGCAAGTGTCTTAGAAAATGGTATGTGATGAAAAATAATGTATTGGCTTCATTGGAAACTTCTTTCAGTATTTTCTCATTTGAGGCTCTCACTGATGTTTTTTTTGGGTAAATTTAATGCTTTATTATTAAGAAATACTATATGCATTATCATTGTGGGAATACATACTGCTGCTTTATCCATGTATTTACAATCCCTTCACTTATTTTTTGGATAAGTAAAGGCTAGTGTGATTTTTTGTGGTATATTTGAGTGGAGCTTGAGAAATATAGCTAGAAATACTATTGTTCATATTTAAGAAGCTTCTGGAGATAGCTCATGGAATTGACTGACCTTTACTGCATTTTTTAAGGTATGATCTATTACTTGCCCACAAGGATGACCTTGCGTTGCTTATAACATTGGAGCAAGGAAAGCCTCTGAAGGAGGCACTGGGTGAGGTATCATAATAATTATTTTACGAGCAATTAGGCTCTGCATGTTCTTACGGGGCTTCTCACAAGCACTTAATACTATGTGTGGTCACCTTTGAGAATTTTAACTTTGCTGCAGGTTGCATATGGAGCCAGCTTCATTGAGTTTTTTGCTGAAGAGGCAAAACGAACATATGGTGATGTCATCCCACCTACACAAAATGATCGCCGATTACTTGTATTAAAACAGGTATGCAAATTTACCTAACGATTTGATTAATGATTCTTCTAGCGTCTCTTCTTCCTTTGTTTTATAAAGGAATAACTTATGTAGATAAAATTCTACAATTTTTTTTCCTTCGTCATGCTGATTCATATAAATCTGAGAGTTTTGCAACCAATATTTCCCTAATCATGTAACAATACATGGATGCATATTGAATTTCTGATTATTTATTCCATTTACTGTCTCTTTAGTTCCTCCAAACATAAGTCTTTGCCTTCTTATTCACCCAGAGATTACAGATTTTTACCTTTTATTGCAGATTTCATGAATTGTTATTACACATTCCACGAAAACACATTGAAGAATTATATATATTTGCTGTGAAAAAGAATATTTTTTTAAATTCCTTGTTGACCTTTAAATGTATATTTTTTTATCTTCGAATTTGATAATATTATTTTCTGGTTTCATTTATGAGGGTATTTACAAAGTGAGGGAGCTTGAGCTGAAAATAAAGTAGTTTACTGGTCAAGCTCCCTCATTCAATCATCACTAAAGTATGAATTCTTTTGCAGACTTAAGTATGAATGCTTTTGCAGACTTAATTTGTTAATATAAACAATTATTAAAAAACTGATACATTTTCTATCTATTAAAATGCTAAAGAGCTATAAGGTGCTGCTTTCCACTTAATTTTAGTTTGACTCGTTCTTTATATGCAACATCCAAATCGGAAAATCATAACTGCTAATTTTAGTCTAAACTATGAAACGTAGTAGCAATAATATTTCAAAAACATTCACATTGATTTAGTTATAGATCATGCACATAGGTGAGTATCCCAGTATATGGTTCAAGTAGTGAGATTAATGATTCATGGATTTTATGTCGGAGTGCTCAAATAAAATGAAACTCCATGAACTTGGTTATTACAATTTGTAGAACAATACTGATGTATAAAAAAGTACAGGAGTAGGACTTATTTTAAGGGCATTTTGCACCCTTTTTTTCATCTTCATGTTTGATCATTGCCTTACATTCCTAAAAAGTAATGAAATTCAATGGCCAAGATGTTCTAATATTGTTGATGTCTTATTCAAAGATCTTTACAAAAATAAGTAATTTTGTAGAGAACATATATTTCCCATATAACTGGCTTGTGGGTTATCCCTATTTCTATGTTTATGAATACACATGTGATGGAATTCTCTCCTAGTAGGATCATGACATCCTATTCACATTCAATTTCTAAGCAATGATCTTCACATTCAATTGCAACGTCACTGTCCATCCTCTTTACAAGTGATGCAGATTCTTTTGTTCATTTATTGAAATCAGATTTATGTTTCTATTCTTATTCCATTATTAAATTTATTTTCTGACGTAGAAAGTTAGTGCTTATGGGCTTACGGGGGAATGTTGAGATCAGCCTAATTTGTAATTTGATTAACATTCTACCACACTGAGATGATGATGTCCTAATGAAAATGTTATATTACACTATATTGCTGTCTTTTTGTTTTGTTTTCTCTTGCCACTTGTTTTAGTAAGCCTGCACCCATTTGTGTTTTGGGCGTTTTTACCAATTAATAATGTGTACGTGGCTCACAATTTGAGTCTCTTTGGTTGTGATTTTGTGGTTGCCCTCATATCAAGCCCAAAGTTTTGAATGCTTGAATTGTTGTTTGGTGAGACATCAGTATTAGCAGCCCCAGTATCCTGCTTGGGTTTTGCTTTGGCTAGATGAAATTTGAAGGCTAATAGAGTTGGTTTTTAGCTTTCAAAACTTCATTTGGAGCTTAGGGAAAAAACTAAGTCATGGTTAAGTTTAAGATTTAAGAACTATGACTCATGAATCAAGAACCTAAAGTGTCTAGTTAGAACATGTTGAACCTCTTTTGACTATTGTTATGAATGATTTTTTTGTAAGATTTTCAGGCTTGCTTAAATGTCCATGTGCTTTGGAATTGAATGTGCTATTAAATCATGATCTGCAAAGGTACTTCATAACGTGTCCTCGGCCATCTAGCTGGGGTTAATAGTCTGTTGAATGTTTCAAGGTTCTATGACCTGCTCAGTTGTTTATTTTCCTTTTCCTTTTGTGAAATAAAGCTCATTTTTTATCGTACAATAGAAGATCACTTGGTTTGTTGCTCTTGAGAAGTAGCTTTTTTATTGGCCTGTCGCAGCATCACCATTAAATTTTTTCTTTTATTTTGGCTCCCTTGAGAGGCAATGCTAAAACTTACTTTTTGTAGAGCATATGCATTTCTTTTTATAGTTTCTTGAAGCAACTTTCTAGTAAAAAATTAAAAATTTTGTATTAGAAAGCTGCTTTAAGAAGCGGTAAGAAAGCTGTCCCAAACGAAACCTAAAACCTGACTTTCTACCGATTTGAATTTATGGATTTTCTTATGCTGCAGCCTGTTGGGGTGGTTGGAGCAATTACTCCTTGGAACTTTCCGCTGGCCATGATTGCACGGAAGGTTCTTACATACAACAGAACTGGTTATTACAAGTTAGGTACTTCGATCATTGCCCATATTTTCTGTTTACTTAACATTCCATTGCGTTTGATGCATCAGGCTGGGCCTGCCTTGGCTTCTGGTTGCACAATAGTTGTTAAACCATCAGAGTATACTCCTTTGACCGCATTGGCTGCAGCTGAACTTGCGCTTCAAGCTGGAATACCACCTGTAACTTCTTAACTTATTTAATACCTGATTTTCTCCATCATTGAAGGAATATGATTTGAACTGAAAGCTTGGAAGTTTCTGAATACTTGGAAGTTTTTGTTTCCTGTATGATATCCCAAAACTTGAAAATGGATATTTGTTCAAACGAACCAATGTATTGGACTGCTTTGTGGTGATTCTTCAGGCTCATGTTTTAGGCTTGCAGAATGCATTGGTTTATACTGTGCTTAATGCATCTTATAAAATAACCAGTTACAACCAAGTTTTTTCATAAAATTCATCTGCATGACATTTTTGGCGTAGGACTAGTTGCCAAATATGGAACTAGTATTACAGCAGGATTATTGCGTTTGTTTGTTTCATTTTATTTCTTCAATAATATGGATTGAATTTAGGGAAAAAACAGGAGCACTTAAACATAAATGTATCATATAAATTGCATTCTAAAACCTGGGCCAAAAACACAATTTGCTACTAATAAAGTCAAAAAATTACAGAAGACAGTAAAAACATAGAAAACAGAGCAATTAATAGGCATGACTAAGCAATTTGAGGATGCTCAAAACTAAAGTTATTGATTGGGGAGATCGAATAGGTAATTTTAGGAATTCTATAGCTCCAGGTAATTGAGGGGGAAGGGGGAAACCACCAATTAGATTCATTCATGTTTGCATGCCCGTATTTTCCTCTAAGAAAGGGTATGTGTAGCAATACATGACCCAAAAGAACTTAATAAACAACCTAATAAACCTAATAATCTATAAACTCATATGACTCACTAAATACCCTTATATCCTTATTCATGTCATTACTCACCCCTTTACACTGATCTTACCCTCAAGTCAAGTAAATTTTTTTGAAAGCGAACCAACTGGGAAGCAAATTTGGGTATGAGGTGGAATCGGATGATTGAGGTTGGTGTTGAATCTAATGGATATGGATGGAGCCGAGAGATCTGGGATTTAAAATGATGTATATGACCTAGCAGAAGGTGGTGTATGGGATCAGAAACGTTAAAAAAAGTTTCATTTTACAAATGATATTTAAATTTTGACTTATGAAATTTTGTTGTTATTATAGTTTTTTATATGTATGACTAGCCAAAAGATGGAAAGAAAAATCATCCCCAACAGAGTCACCAGAAATCTATAGGCTCCGAAAATTCGTGCCTTGGCCTCTCTGTGCCCTTTTTGTGTTGGTGAGGAGGGTTTTAACGAGTTTAGATTCTGGGGTAAATTCAAAAGGCTAATTGAATTTTCGATAAGACACTACACATATATTTTTCCCTCATTTTGCTAGGACTTTATGAGCCGGAGTCTGGTTTTCCATAGTTGTAAGCCCTATGGCTAATTATCCCTCCCGATAATGGGAGAATATTTTGATTAAGGTTAGTCGTTAGATAGATATTAAATAACCAACATATAGTAGCAATAATTGCCGGGTTTTAAAATTGGATTTAAGAGTTTTTATGATTTGAAATTTATCACCGTAACTTAAAATGGGTGATGGGGGAATAATGATAGACCCGATCAAAATCCCATAGTTCTATCATCCCGAGCTATCATGGTTCATAGTCTACTTAGTCAGAGGTAGTCGAACTAATTAGATAGAAGGATTCTTATCGACAGCTATGAGTTGTGTAGTCCAAAAATACCTAGATTTGGAATGAATGTTTGACAAATGGGACGTATTTGAGTCCACCTTAGTTAGCAAAGGCTTTTGTGTTATATTAAGTATATTATATAATTCTTTACTTAGGGATTTGAAGTCATTAGGGAACATATAGGTTCTGGCCGTGACCGTAATTTAGTATTGCTAGTTGGTGGAAAAATTATTGATTAGAGGACACGTACTACATCCTTAATGGTGAGAGATGATTTCAGAATTAATCTTAATAATACACCAGACATGACATTTGCTCTTTGTGAGCTAAAGTTATGCTCAAATTTATTCTCATATTATTGCGAAGGGGATTTTTACTTTAAGCATTATATGATTTAATTTCATCTTGAATATATTAGATTTTGATGATTTTTGAATTTTAAATTTTTATTAATTTTGAGATTTGGGGGCATTTAAAAGATAGAGACTCCTTCGGTTGAGATTTAACTTAAAAAATGATCATCATCGGTGTGATATTAAAGTCACTTTATATATATAGTGGAGTTCTCTCCTGTTGAGATTAACATTCAACATGACTATCATTAAGGAGATTTAAATAACTTGTATATTTGTCATTTAAACAGTGTGAACTCTGCTGGTCAGTTAATAGAGGATCTGGTTCGACGATTGATTGTTATACTAATGCTAAAGCCAAGAGCTTATATTTTTATGATGAGTTTCATTTGAGTAGTGTTTGAAGGCCTAATGTGAACTTTAAAATTAAATATCTCGGTAGATTCGTGATTAGACGATCACTTGTTAATTCAAGTAATGTCGACTTTAGTTCTTTCATTGAGGACAATTAGACTTGAATATTTAACCCACGCATCATTTTTGGACTTTAAGATTATGAGTTATATGCAATGTTCGGAGCATATGTGGGTAATATGTTTGAAGATATGATTTTAGATTACCGAGTTTTTAACTCTCACGCAACATTCTCAGACATATGTGTTTGCAAATTTAACATGTTTGTCAAAGTACATGTAAGGAACTAAGGATTTAGTTTTATTTTTAAATGACATTTACGCTTTTTGATGCATTTTGCGCCATGCAATTGCAAACTTTTTAGTGCACCTGCATAGTGCACATGCACACATTCAATACACCAACATGCTTTTTGGTGTGCTAACGATATGCACTGCATGTATTTTGGTATGTTTGCGCAATGTACTTGCACATATTTTAGTACATTGTTTTGTGTTTTCACACACTTTCAATTTGTTTGCATCTTTCAATGTCTCGACAATTTTCGAGATAACATGTCTTGTTTATGTTGCACACTTCTCGATATAGTATCATGCTCTTGAGATGGTGATACTTTTTGGAGTTGTCGCACCCTCTTTAGGTTGCTACACGGCTCTTGAGATTGTGACACACTTCTCGAGACGATACGCTTAGGTTTAAAAAATTAGATTTTAATGCATGAGGGAGGATTTTAAAATATTTAATTACAATCAATTGCGCAAGTGATTGTCTTTGGAAAGTGCGCAAGATTTCATTTGAAATTCAAGAAACGCCTTATGCCCATTTGAACAAGAGTTGTGAATCCAGTGGCGTTAAAGGAGGTAGATTTGGTCTTCAAATTATTTTACATTCAGATAAAATATAATCTATACTTATATGAGTTATTTAAAAATAGGTGGGCCTACTAGATCTATCATCATCTTTTGATAATTGTGGATTTTGTCAGTACATAGATTTTATAAGCACGAATATGACCTATTGGTTCTATCCCTATCTTTTGATAATAGAATTCTTTGTCTATAGATGAGTTCTATAAATATAGGCGGAGTCCACGGGCTATCCTTCCTCTTCTATAAATAGGGAGAAGGCTCATTTCATTTCTCATTTCATTTCAATTCATTGAGCAAGCTCTCTAAGGTTTCCCTTTTGTTCTAAGGGCTTGTGCCTATGGGAAACTAGACCTTATATCATAATGTCCTTGTAAAATGAGGGCGAAAGGTCTTGGTAGTGTCATATATAAAATTTAATCTGCCTTTTAAAAATTTACTCTGAAATTTAAACTCATTAGAACTCTTATCGCCAACAAAAAATAGCACAGGGGCACAAATTTTTGGAGCCCATAGTTTTTGGTTGGGAATATTGGGGAGGGAATGAGGAGCAGAGGCTGTTATGTTAGAATCATAAAGAAAGGACGTGAAGAGAAACTGCGGTAATATTTCTATAATTTAGTTCAATCAATGGTTATATTGGCATTCATGTAAAAATCTTGAATTAGAGGGACCTTTGTGGAGGGTTTGACCTTAGCATCCTTACATTCTTTTCAAGGTTTTTTTTTTTTTTTTTTTTTTTTTTTTTTTTTTTTTTTGTTGTCACCTCACCTTAGCATTTGTTTACTAGTGAGCTGTTGGATAATCGAAGGATTGCACTCTTATCTAAGTTTTTTTTATAATTATTTTCCAACAAAAAACTGCAACGTAGTGATTGCACAAATTAATTTTGCTTTTCTTATAGCCGTATCTTGGAAATTCAAGTTAATCTTCTACTTCAATCTTCAATGCAGTAGTTCGTAGAATAATATTTATTATTAGTTTCATTAAATAGGGTTAAAAGAACTTTTGAATCCAATACTACTGAAATTGGCTATTGAATTTTGTTAGTCATCTTGTTTTAATTTAAAAACATTTTTTTATACTGTTCTGTGACCTAAATCCTTCAGGGTGCACTAAATGTGGTTCTGGGAAATTCTTCTGAAATTGGCGATGCTCTATTGGAAAGCACGCAGGTTTCTATATTTGTTTTCCGTTTGTATCATCCCGATTTTTTATAAGTGCTAGAAGCTATTTTCTTAGCTATATGTCTTCATAACATTTTATTAGGTGAGGAAGCTCACGTTCACTGGTTCAACAGCTGTTGGGAAGAAGCTAATGGCAGGCTCAGCGAATACTGTTAAAAAGGTAAGCTCTGCAGTTAGCTTTGTCATTTGATACTCTTTGCATAACATAGTTTTATCAATTGCGTGAATTGCAGTAATGCAATTTTCTGATATCATGGATGCTTCGCTAAATTTACTCTGATTAATAGCTTTCTTTATGATTTATTTTTTCTAAATTTTGACCACGCAAACAGAAATCCATAAAACATGTTAGGCAGATTGAAATGCGACATATCAATGATTATTTAAGCATCACCCATGTTGTCATCAATGAAAACAGTACGATTATTAGAATTCACATTGTAATCTGAAGTCTAAATGGTAAGATCTTTGAAAAAATCCAATCACATCCATAAACCAATTACTAAAATTATGGAAGAAAAAAGAATTAGGAAATAATTCATTGAAGTTAGAAAAATGGGTCTCACACCATCTGCATGGAGATGGCTTCCCCAAGAACTTAATAGTCGTCACATGCACCATGCTAAAAAGATGCACATCCAAACGGCAGCAAAGCATGAAGAGAAAACAAAATTCTTAAAAGAAATTATTATTGAATAATTGATTTTAAATGCCTCCGGTTTCTCTATTTGTAAGCATAACAACCTTATTCAAATAGCAAAAAAAATTTTAATAAAGTAGGCAACCCCATGACACTTAAAATGTCCAATTGCTTAAGAGCATCTCCAACCGAACATCAAATATGTCTATGGTGTCGTTTGATCGCTCCAGCCGAACGTCAAATCTTCCGCTATTTGCTTGCGGGTGAACAATGCAACGCCAATATTGACATCGCAACCAGATTTGCCGAAGAAACGCACCAAAGAGGTGAAAGACCATTCCCTTCGCAGAAGCCCGCAGAATGGAGTTCAATTGGAGATGATTCACGACATTTTTGAGTTTCACTACATTTTGGAGTGAAAAATGGAATTTTCGGTTGGAGATGCCCTAAGTTATAGTGCGCGAACCGCAAACTTATCACATCTGCCAGGAATAAATCAGTAGACCTGAAGGAATGCCAGTCTTGCAAGTCGCTCTAAGAAACAGCGATCCACACATTACACATGGATAACAACTTCAGCTATGAACGTGGTTTAAGTAATGGGATTTCAATCATAAATCTTTAAATTTCAATTGAAGCCCAAACTCTTCTAGAAATCATTGCCCATGAACACAGAAGGCCAAAGAACAAGAACAATAACATCAACTAAGTACTGATCATGGTTCAATGTCCAATCGAAAGGCTATTGACAAGCCGTATTAAATAACTTAAAATAACAAGAAACCCCACCCATAGAAACCAACGGCTAAATATCAAATATGGACAAAACCAAGAACCATCGAAGTAGATAACTTCATTATAAAGATTCCTCTTTTCCATCCAGACATTAAATTAAACTAATTTAAAATAAAGAATACTATGAAATAAAAGCATTCGAAGTAAGTTTGAACATTAAATTAAACTAATATAAAATAGATAATACTATGAAATAAAAGCAACCCAAGTAATTTCGAAGTTTCAGATCTTGATTCACATTAAAACTCCAAATCATTTGATGTATCTTCGTTTACTCTATCCAGTTTATATTTTCTTAAAATTTGGATTACAATGTGTGATGTCAGTAATTACTGAAGGAGACTTGTACTTATTGATGATATGACGAAGCAGGTGTCATTGGAGCTTGGCGGGAATGCCCCTTGCATTGTTTTTGATGACGCAGAAATAGATGTGGCAGTAAAAGGAAGTGTAAGCTTTTACTTATTGGTTTATTAAATTATTACCGTGCTATGTTTGCTATATATTTTAAATTTTATGACAGCTGAAGGCCCACTGTGCTGTTTTTGGTTTCAAGTGGGTGAATTATTGTAATGTTTTATTAACTTATATTTAATAACTAATAATTTACTATTAGGACAGTTTCTGCATTAGTACTTGTAGAATTTAATCTTTAAGTCTTTTTTCCTGCAGCTTGCAGCAAAGTTCCGCAACAGTGGACAAACATGTGTTTGTGCAAACAGGATTTTGGTCCAAGAAGGTAAAGCCATTTTTTTTAGTAAGCTACGCTATGCTTGTGGGATGCAGCTTATTTTTATGATTAGACAAACGAAATTCTATAAAATAAAGATGTTTTTGCTGACATATTTCTTCATTGGAGAGCTTGTCACAAGTGGAATATTCTCAATAATCTTGCATGCTTGTGGGGATATAACATAGTGTTAGAGTGGTGCACTTGAGATTTTTGTAATGATTTTTTTTTTTGTGAAGGGGGTGTGTGTTAGGCCTTCCCACCATGTTTAAAAAGGCTTATATAGTTGATATCGTTAGACACCATGGCCGGTGGTCTTCTATCCCTCCATGCTTAAAAAAGTGTGCACTCCCTTGAAACTTGTTTTATTTTCCCTCTATGTTGGAATAATGCGCAAAGGTAATTCTATTTGAATTTTCCCAGTCGTGCTAAAAGAAGTGCACAAGGCTTACTCATGCATCATGAGCATTGCCTCCTAGTTTCCCCTACCATGCTAAAAAAATAAGCACAGATTCTGCTCATCATGCTGAGAGAGTTGCTCTCATGATTTTGGATATTTTAAAGTTTTACGAGTTTATACCTTCATACGTACTGGTGGTGACAACAATAGGGTATGGCGAATAAACACATTTTTTCTTTTTTTATTTAAGTTTTCTCTAGAAAGAGAGAAAGGAGAGAGAGAGAGTGATGAGGACATCGTCAGCATTTTCGACGCCGGAGATCGACGGCCACGAGCATGACTTGTATTTTGTCATTTTATGTAGTAGCGTATTTATTTTGATGTTTTTCCACTTTTGCCCTTATGGGCATTTAGTCGCTTATGTAGCCCGGAAGGGCATTTCTGTCATTTCTTGTTTTTTTTTTTCATTTTT